GTTTTCATTGAAAACTAGCGTTTATAGTCGTTATATGCATTCTGTCACAGTGGTAATCGATTACCAAATGGTGGGTAATAATCGATTACCGTATGCTGGTAATTGATTCCCAACCTGACAGCAAAAATATTATTTCGTATTTTGGGCATAGCTTGAGTTATACTTGTCCGATTTATGTGATCTTGGTCTCGTTGAAAAGATAAAAGAGAGATCTAAAACTTTTATGAAGAACACAAGATCCAAATCCATCATCTTAGATACGAAAAATTGTATGGAAGGCAGCAACAAAATTAAGCAACAAAATTTAAGTTCATTATGTTCTAACTTGATTCCAACCACTTTTTGTGAAAGATCTTGACTTGATAAATATGTTTTGAAGTTATAAAATATGTCAAGGATCTTTTTCATGAATATTTCAAATTTCTTTCAAGTATATAAAGGTTATGATTATGCAATTTGAAAAATACGTTTACTTTGAGAAAAACTTTGAGCTCATACAATGCAATCTATCATATACCCTCACATATATTCTAAGTCCTAAAGATATATTCTAAATATGATTTTAGACTTAGCTTCATGTCTTGTGTCTTGGATCTTTACTTGAACTTGATGCTTTGACTTGTTGAATATGACAATGCTTGATACTTTGTTGGTTTTGATCATTTTTCATCATGGTTATGATATTGAGCTTCTCTTAGATGTTGTCCATGGTTAGTTGTCTTTGATCCTGGTGTTGCTCTTCTAATTATTTCTTGTTGCTCTTGATCCAATTATCTTGCCACTTTGATATGACATCACTCTTCTTATGTGGCGACATCATACATCTTCAATATCCATATATGATTGATGTTTTTTGCTCTTGATCAAAGCTCTTCTCTTTTTGTTGTCACTTTTTTTATCATCAAAACATACCTTGTATCTACAAAAACCATTCAGTGCCTTTTTGGAATTTGGATTTATATGATATTAATTATATTATATATATTTAAATTAATTTTTATTATATTTATGTATCTTACGATTCGATACGATTCATGATATACGATACAAAAAACGAGTCAAATAATACACGATACTTATTGCGATTGAACAACCTTGCTTCCGAGAGCTCTATGTTGACAATTCATCCATATTTCATGCTAAAAATTGAATTTTTTTCAAAACCTTTCATTGCCACATTCACGAATTTGAGACAAGGTTGAAAGTTACGACAATGACAAAAAATAAATAATAACATAAAGTCAAAACAAATTTTTTAGTAAAACAATAATATTGTGCATTTTGGTCTGCCTTGGAGAGGAAATAGAAGAGAGTCCTAGCAAAAACAGTAGTTGAGGCTAAGGTAATTGGATTGAGGTTGATTTGGGATTCAAATATTATGGTATTGTTTGAATACTGTTTCTAAAAACAGTTTTTTGATTTTTTGAAGAAAAAAAAAACTTTGTTTAATAAGGTCTTTTTTTTATAGATCAAATTTAGAGAATATCTCAGAGTTATTTTTGTTTTATGTTTTAACTTTTAACTTTAAAAAAAACTCAGAAAACACTTATTTTCATAATTATTCTACAAAACAATTTTAAGGAAAAAAAATCAAAACACAATCAAACAAATCCATATTTTTAATATCTAACCAAATCCTATCAGGTTTTACCATGCTACTTGAAGCTTAATAAGTTTATCTTATAATAATTTGATAAAGTCATATATTCATATACACAATCTAACATGATGAGATGTTGGTTCCTCCTACATAAAAAATAAAGTCATATTTATATTAAAATATAATCGAATATAATTAAGTTATAAATAATTACAATTTATTAAATTTATATATTTTGTTTTGTCTTCAAGTCATAGTTATTCTATTCTATTTTATTTAAAATAAATAGTACAATATAGGCCAGCTGTAGGCTTATAGGCTAGGCCTTGTGAAAGTGAGCCTACGGTCTTTTTATTAAACAAGCTTTTTCAAGGCTCAAGTCTGGCCTATTTTACAAAATATACTAGGTCAGGTCTGGCCTGATGTAGGCCGAGCCAAAGACCCCTGTAGGCCGGCCCGACTCAGTTTCACCCCTACTCACAACACAACTCATAAATCACTTTTTTTTAATACAAATAGAAATTAAACACATAGTTTAATATAAATTACCTAAATTTCTCACCACTAAACCAAATTTAGTAGCTTAGTCATAAATCACTTTACTTTAACAACTCGTTATACTATATAATTTTAAGGATTATGAAGTATCATGTTATAGGATTTTTAGCTTTCTTCCAGCTGACCCTTTGATTAGTGTGAAGTTGTATTTTCAGTTTTTATTTTATTAAAAAAGCAATTGATCTCATAATTGATGTGTCTGTGACATGATGTACCGAATTTACTGGACACTAGTAAATCCCATAATTTTACTGCATTATTTTCTTAGTAACCGAGCTTCCGATTGTAATCTACATTTTATGAGGGTCGTATCAGTTTTATTTTTTATTTTTTGTTGGTAGTGTGACTAGTGTCGTATCAGTATTAGTGGAATCTTGATTAGTATGGTATGCTCTCTTACAAAGCATTTTTTGTTTTGAATTTTCACAGTCCCTTTGATTTCACGGCCAACCAGACAGACATAAGAATCTCTCATTTGCTTTTTTTTTTTTATCCAAAAAAAAGAAAAGAAAAACACAATGGGATCTTCCGCGGGACCCCAAAATTAGAAGTCCAATATATTAATTATTTACGTTTGGGATGGATTAGGTATATTTCATAGACGGTGATGAAGTCCATACCTAGTGGGGCCCCGGAATCACAGGTCATTGACGAGTGGGCCCTCGGGCATTTCTATGAATTTGGATCCTTTTATACGGGAAAGTGATAATTATGTTATTTGATTATAATTATTATTTTTATTCATTGATGATGAGATAAAACAAAAAAAATTATATTTTTAAATAAATGATTATAATTAAATAATATGATTACATAATCAATTTTTTTTTTATAACAACATAATCATTTTTTCACATGAGAAGATCTTAATCCATTTTTTACTGAGCACATATATGTAATTATGTATATGTGTGGTTTTTCCTAACTAGGACTGTCTCATGAGTAACAAACTTTAATTAAGGCGTTTACAAAATAATAAGTGAGAAATTTTGTTTTCAAGAATTATTTTTTCTAAGAATATGTTGGGAATTTTTTTTTAAAACATTCTCAAAAAATTATTTAATAGATCAAAATATGACTAGAAATGTTGATTTAATTTTTCTGATTTTAATCAAATTTTGTGGAAATATGAAATAATTTTACAAAAGTAACTTTATCCGTTATTTTCATTCAAAGCAAATGCCCCAAAGACAAAGCTAAAGAATGACACCCCGTACAGTATTTTCATCAAAAGATTACCATCAACCATGTTATAATAATAATAATTGACGCATCAAATCATAATAGCTATGGCTCAGTTGCTAATAAGAAAAATGAAAAAGTGAAAAAAAAAAATCTCAACTTCATGTGATGCATAACTAAGGAATTTAAATATTTTTTTTTTGACTTATTTCAAATTCCGGATTAATTCCGTAAAAAATAAATAATAATAATCACCGCACTTGCCTACTTTTAGAAAAAGATAGAAGGAAGTAAATGAAAAGAAATAAAAATTAGGAGACAGAGATGGTCTCTGTTTGATTGTGTTTTGATTTTTTTATTTTTAAAACTATTTTGTAGAATAATTATGAAAACAGTTGTTTTCTATATTTTTTTATTTTGAAAATTAAAAATTAAAACAGAAAATAAAAACAGCTCAGACATGTTCTCTAAATTTAACTCTAAAAAAAAAAAACAGTTACAAATTTTAAAACTTTTTTTACGCCAAAGGCGTTTTTTCGTCCTAAAAACTAAAAAACTATTTTTGAAAACAGTATTAAGAGCCTTTGATTTTTGTGGTTTTGCAGTGCAAAACCGCGAACAAAGAAGGAAGAAAAAAATATATTGAAGAGTGGGAAGACTGGAGAAAGATGGGTGGGTAAGGGTAATCCACAGAAATCGACGACCGCCGGCGACGACTTCATGCAGCGGCAAGGTCCGGTGATCTCATCGCTGTTCAGTTAATTTTGAGTTCAAATCCTTTGGCTGTTAATTCCAGAGATAAGCATTCCAGAGCACCGTATCCTTTGGCAAGGTTCGAATCTTAGGAGATAAGGAGATAGATCTGTCACGGATAGGGTTTACAGGAGGGTTAATTACCTCATTGTCAATCATGTGAAATTTTCACACCTCCCGGAATCTAGTGGTATTCTTGGATTGAGATTTTGCTTCGTATGAAAATTTTCATATCAATTTTCCGGAAATTTAAAATTATCACTCTACCAAAACCCCGCCCATTGATAGTGAGAATTGATGGTATTTTGATAGTGAGAATTAATGGTATTTGATCCTTTTGTAAAAAATGGTATTTTGATAATGAGAATTAATGGTATTTGATCCTTTTATAACAAAATTTATAAACGAATCCTCTCTTTTATTCGTAATTCTCCCTTTATAATTTTTTTTTTTTGGATTACCACCTTTATAATTTTTTTTTGGTAAAGTTAAAGTTGTGAGTTGAGTTTTTTTATTCATATTTATACTATTCTAAGATTTGTGCTGTGACTTGTGAGTTGAGTTTTTTTATTTATATTTATATTATTTTAATAAGGAAAAAATATTTATCATTTTAAATGATATAAAATTATTTCATTTTAAGAAAGATAGACATAATATAATAATTTTTTATTTAAAATTTAAATTAAAAAATCATCAACTTTCTTTCCATGATTTTCATTTCTTGTATTTTTTTTTTTTCTAAAACGAGATAACTTATATAATACAAACATCAAATCCTTTTAACAATATAATAAAGTGTTTTTCTGTGGTGTTGTGACTTATTTTTTTATCAGACGTGCTTATAAGTTATAGTATATGATATAATTATTTCATTCACTAAACACAAATTAAATAGGAGATCCACTTTAAATTTTCTTTCTCTTCCTTGTTCTCTTTCTTCTATCTTCCATATGTGTAGGAAATTGTTTTTTTAAAACAATCCTCCAAGTTATAAGTCCGTAGCAAACTAGCAATTAATGCAGAGGCCACTTAGTTCTTGTTTTAAGCCCTATTTTTTTTTCTGAGGAGGAAGAGGCAGAGCATAGTCCCCGTCGATAGAATAACCGGTGATGCACGTCACGATACATGTTTGTTCCTTTGTTATATGAGTTGATTAGGTCTATTTTGAATCCTCCTCCTTTTTATTCTTTATTGCAATTAGTAATACATAATTACATATAGTAATCTAATTTGATAATTATTCAGTATAAATTTGTATTACTGTTCTTTTGATTGTTGTCCATGTTGTGCTTGGCAATATTATGTACCATCTAAAATCTTTTATTGTTTGAATCTGAGTGCTTTTCAGCATGAGCATTCCTACCTAAACAAGGGACACACTTCCTCTCATCTTGAAGAACTTTGAACTTCCAATCAATCAGTGTTTTCCCCATTTTGATTTGTTGTTAACGTAACTTAGCAAAAGCAACTGAGTTAGGGTTTCTGAATTGCCATGGCTGATTTTTTCACCTCGACCCACCGAGCTAAGTGGATCTTCTCTCCTCAACAGCTGGTACTTTTTCGTTTTTATCTTTTCCATTAATTTCAAATCATGATTCATAATCAGTTTTGCTCTTCCACTAACAAAGGCTGATCTAACTAACTTTTCTGCGTAAGTTCATATGGTTTCTTTAAAGCAAAGAATTTCTAATTTTTAAGTTGTAAGCGCAGCTCTTTCCTAAATTTCAATGTAGGTTGGGGAGACAATTGTAATTTATTAGATGTTACAATTTACATTTTCCATGTAATTGGTTCACAAGAGAGGCTTCAAGGAAATTCTATTTTTTTTTCTTATATTATGCGTACAATTTGCTGTTTTCGTTTGTCTTATATCTATTTATGTTTTAGGTTGAGAAATATAGAGCTGCTAATCAGAGAGCCAAACAAATTCTAGAGAAGGTACGCAGACTGTTCTAATTTACTACTTCCCCTTTCCCCTGCCTCATAAATATCTTTGTAAATTGATGAGAGTTCCAAACATATTTGTTGTTGTTTCTTGGACAATGTAGCCTTTTGGGAGACTGCTTTTCTTTTATTCCTTACAGTTACAGACATAATATTTCACGGTATCATTTGAAAGTTTATTATCCGGTCGCTGATGACTATTAATTTTTTTTGAAAAGAGTGGAGCAACTCTAATGGAAGTAGATGTTGATGGGTCGTTGTCATATCCTGAAGCCCAGATGACCGCAAAGGATAATGGTAATTTATTTCTGGAAATTTGACTCTTTTTTTGCTCAATGTGTAGATAGCATTCTGTCTTTTAAGTTTTTAATTGCTTTGAAACTATTTTATTATGTTTTTGTTCCCCTTGATTGTTTATGTGAATTTCTATTTTCTACTGTTCACAAGGGTAGTATTTTATGTCAGCTGAAAAGCATTCTCGGACAAAACCTCTTAGTATTGAAGAAGAACAATGCATAAGGGTATTTTATGAAAACAAGCTACAAGAAGTATGTAACAATTTTCACTTCCCTCATAAGATCCAGGTATGCAAGCTCTTCTCCAGATATTGGAAATGTGATTGTGAAGCAGTCTGTGTTAATGAAATAAAATTGGCCACATATTTTTTCTATAGTCAATCTTTTGAAATAGTTTATGATATGCAGGCAACTGCCCTCATCTATTTTAAAAGGTTCTACTTGCAATGGTCGGTGATGGAACATCAACCAAAAAATATAATGTAAGATTTACTTTAGTCCATATGAGGACCTCTGGACTAAGGATCTATGACACTCGTATTATTTATTTAATTATTTTTGGCAATATTAAGTAGAATTGGAACCCATTAGTCATTATAGTGAATTCATACTCATTTTATTAATTTATTTGAAAATGTTGAAATTGGTTAGGATGATTGTTCCTGATGTACTGCTTGCCAGATGGATTGGTCATTAGATTTCTCTTTTGATTGATCTTTCTAATGGCACATAAGACTGATTCCTTATTTTTATAATATTGTAAGATTGATTAAAGTGGGCAAGCTTAGAGCAGTGGTGAAGTTATCCTTTGTGACTTAAATGTCACGGGTTCGGGTTGGTATTCGGAAACAGCCTCTTTGCAAATATGCAAGAGTAAGGCTGAATACAAGTATTGTCCTCTCCTCTATCCTCGCTAGTCGGGGTTTAATGAGAAGTGATTTATTGTTTGATTGTTTACCTGTGTGTCTGTGTCGCTGTCATATACTTCATCAAAGTCAGTGTTCGATTTGTATGAATAATTTATTTATTATTTTTTGAATTTTTTATTTACTTGTTAGTTTCTCAGTAACTCATTGAATTTTTTGCACAGGTTGACCTGCATATATGCTGCTTGTAAGATAGAAGAAAATCATGTATCAGCTGAGGAGCTTGGTAAGGGGATTTCACAGGATCATCAAATGATTCTCAATAATGAGATGATAGTTTATCAGGCATGGATAGGCATCATGTATCAAATTAATCTATGTCTTACTTTTGTTTTTTGTTCATCGATGACATTAAGCCCTTGTTTTGCAGAGTTTGGAATTTGATCTTATTGTTTATGCACCATATCGCTCTGTTGAAGGTTTTATAAATGATATGGAGGTTCGTCTGGTTGGCCAATGAGTGGAATTTACAAATATGTTTAAGTTTTTTAAAATTATTTTTACATCACAAAGTAAATATTCAGCCTTCTCTCTCTTTCTTTTGGCTTAGTAATTATGCAACTTGTTTGCTATTAACATTACATTTTTTTAATGATTTTATTTTATGATGGAAATTGTGACTATCGGCATTGACAGGAATTTTGTAATGCTGGTGATGACCAGCTTCAAATGCTCAAGGTACTAGTCCAATTGTCCAACATAATTATTCTCTTGCTGTGGCCATGAGTAGATGAACTTTTTTGGCTTATTATTTCATATATAAGGTTTCTCTGGTACCTCTCTCTCTCTCTCTCTCTCTCTCTCTCTTTCTTGTGACAATTAGTGGTTATTATTTGTCCAGGATTGAGATTGTATACAGTTTTTAAGAAAACTGTACTCGATCTCAACCATTAAAATAGTTTCATTCTATAACTAAAAATAATTCTGAACTTTTACAAAAAATAAAATAAAATAATTGTGAACATAACTAAATAAATTTAAACCATTGAATTGAGAACTGCACAGCATGCAGATTCTTTCTAGACTGTAGACAATCACGATCCATTTGTCCATGTCTTTAACTTACTTGAAATATAAACACAGCATTTTTTTTTAAATTTATATTTCAATTTAATGGAATACGTAGCAAAATATTGGCCCATAATTTGACAAAGGGTATCAAACAATCTCTCTCTCTATAAACACACTATAAGTGGACATACACACATACATATAGTGATTGCTTCCTCTATTCTCTTCTCTTATGGAACAATGCTTTTACCTGTTTAACTCTTGTTCTCCCTAGTTATAAAATAACTCATTTGTGCATCCTCTTTACTCGGAAATGCTCACTGACTTTCATGAGGTTCAAATAGCTTCCTGTCTCCTGATAATGTTTCTCCTGATGTATAGAATTTGCAAGATACAGCAAGATTGGAAGTTGATAAAATGATGCTTACAGATGCACCACTTTTATTTCCTCCTGGGCAGGTATTCTCAGAATAATCTGTAAATTTTGAATCTACCTTGCAGCATTGAGTGTTTTTTGTGACAAGAAGCAGCCAAAAAGATTCCATGTGCTGCCTAATCTTTGTCAAGGATTTTAAAATAGAAAATTTCATCTTTACGAATTAATGATAGTCAATTTATCAGTCAAAAAACAAATAATCCATTTCACAAGTCACAATCTAGGCTATCCCTTAAAAAGGGTTTATTTCTATTTATGGAACAATGAACCAAATTCTGGAAAGAGTGGTTAACCATTATCTTTTTTATTTTAGTTGTTTCAAAATTGAAAATATGCTTGTCAAGGTTTCCAAAATTGTAAAAAAAATAGAAAAAAATAAATGAAAACCTATGCTGTACTTCATAATTGTTGATTTGGAATAAAACATCTTCTAATCACTCTAATCTCAATCTTCTAGTTCAGCTTTGTTTCAATCCATTTTGCTTCAAAATCTAACTTACCTGTTTGTGTCTGATACCGGTCGTCCTATGAAAGTGTATTCAAGAAAGAAGTATCGGACGGAACATGATGGTTCATGCTGAGTCAACAATAAATCAGTTAGAGAGGGAATGTTCCAGAAAAGAGATAATAGAAGTTAGTTAAGCGAAATTGGCAGGAATATGAAGTATTAGTAGGGAAACATGAAGACAGAGAGAAACCTTAGATCTGAGTGTTCTTGGTTTGGCAGAGGCTAGAGCCTCTCTAACTGTTCTAGAATTATTTTGTTTCTGTCATTTTCCTGTCTTTTCTCTTCATTTCCTTTCCATTATTGTTTCATGTAATTCTACTTCTGGGAGTTTTACTGATACACGTTTCTAGAATATCCTCTGTTTCATTCTGTTCTTAGGTCTTTGCTTGGTTGATACCTATCAGTGTCTTTTGATGCAGTTGGCTTTGGCGGCTTTGCGTAACTCAAATGCATTCCATAAAGTTCTTGACTTTGATAGGTAATTATTATTGTTTCCATGTTTCTTTGCATAGTTGATTCTGACCCACCACGCCATTGTTTTTCCTTTTATTGTTACTTGTTACATGAATAAATATGTAACAAAATGGCCTACCTGGCATGTGGTGCAATGGTGTATATTCTTTGACCCAAACTAATGTATCTGCTTAGACGTTCACTCTTACGTTGTCACTTAATTGCAGTTACCTGAGCAGCATTTTTTCCCGTCAGAATTCCATGCATACAATGTCCGAGCTTTTTGAATCACTGAATGAAATTGATTCTTGGGTAATTTTTTCTCTTTCTAATATTTGTTGTTAAACTGAATGACTGATGCATAATTCCAAATTAACAATTTGTTTTAGCTGGGACTGTTGTTTTCTTTTGTTTTACATGGACCATTGTGGCCCTGGTTATGTTTGCAGGTTAGAAAATACAAAGTTCCTTCAGAGAAGGAATTGAAGCATATCAACAGGAAACTGAAGTCTTGTTGGGGTCTTAGCTCCCATGACGAGTACTTCCTTTGCCCTTATGTAGAATTGCCTGTCGGCCCTTCATGCTCAACCCCTCTCCCCAAAAAATGTTTTAGAGTGAAAATTTCATGTTATGTAATAATTTTGGATTGCTTTACAGGGGCAAGAAGCGGGAGAAGAAATCAAAGCACAAGTCTAAAAAGAGCTCAAATGAAGCACAAAATGTGCCATCTCTTGTATAACTTTGTATTCCTTTTAGTTGAGTTACTCATCTTCTAAAATTTGGAATCGAATTCTTTTGGTTTCTGTTTGGACATGGAGAATGACGTATTGTCTTAAGTGATTGATAACATATTCCTCATCCTTGATGCAAGAGCGTTAGTGACCAAGGAATCTTTGGAAAACTCCTTCGGTAGGCTTACAAGTGAATCTGATTCAATGACGTTTGTTACTCCACTTATGTCCGTCGATTGCCGTTTGTATGACTTATTTATCCCCAAATGCACTTATTGCTTCAAAAAATATGGTGTTTGAAAATGCTCCAATCCACATTCCATGCATATGGAGTTTTAAATTGCTTCAATATTATGTTGTTGCCAGATATCACTTCTGGAGATGATCAAATATTTGTTTTTAAACTACAGCTTTTTCCCTTATGGTTCCAAGTTACGACAAGTTATCATAGCCAATGTTGTATATTTCGTATATTTATTTTCCCAAATGAAGTACTGTATAATCTTATTGTGTCCATAGGTTCTTTTTTTCTCGTCTCTTCTAACGATGGATCATCTAATTCTAAGGATTAGGTTTTAATAAATCCATAATTTCTTAACGTGTTCTGTATTTTGATCAAAGTTTAAAGGGTTTGATTTTTCTCATGTTGCATGAAATAATTTATCTCATGCAACACACAAAAAGTGAGTAGGATCTACTTTGAAGAAGAGAGAGAAAGGAAAAAGGTGGGTCTCACATACTGTTTTGTGTGTTGTACAAGACAAATTATCTCATGTAACATAAGAAATTCATTTCCCAAGTTTAAATGTTGATTCTTTTGTTACCAGTTTTTAACATTGCACTATATTGGTCCACTTGGGACGTTCTTATCCCTTAAATGATATCTTAATATTTCTAGAACCTGCTTCTGTCGAGTTTCTTTTTTCTAAGATATATACTTGTTTCATTTATGCAAAAACTTTCTTGTAAGTTTGATAAAATTATGAAATGTTTCTTCTTAATTCAAAATGGAACCTATATCTTTTATATTAAATCTTGATTAAATATAAATCAACCTTTTGATGAAACTGTGCTTGCACAATTTGAATGTACCAACACAGCAGTTCAAGTGAATGTATGATAATGATAAATATATTAACGTTAAAAACACCAACATTATCACCTTTATCCCAGATTAATTGGGTATGTAACAATTTTTCTTTAACAGTCACAAAACGAGTTCTTATTATTGTTATTTTTTTTTTTCTTAAGTAACAGTGGAGTTTGCATAATTACATGGTCAAAGTCATCAAGGCATGCAATAAGCTTTGATAAGGACTTACAAATGGAGGAATTTTTTTTGTTTTTTTTGTACAATGATAGTAACGAGATTTGAATCTATCACTTTACATAAATTACGAAAAAATTTAATATACAACCGTTGCACTGAGATTTCAGTGCAACATTTCAGTGCAACAGTCATATTATAATTACATATTGCGAGAATTTCGGAGAGTACATAGTTATAATATTAACTTTTTTTTTTCTCTTCAGAAATTGTCAGCTGAAATAGAAAGAGGAAAAAAAATATTTAATATAATAACTACGTACTCAGTGCAATAATTATAATTAGGGGTGAAACTGGGTCGGGTCAGGCCGGGCTGGTCTACAGGGGTCTACGGCTCGGCCTACGTCAGGCCAGATCTGACCTAGTATATTTCGTAAAATAGGTCAGGCTTGGGCATTGAAAAAGCTTGTTTAATAAATAGGCCGTAGGCCCACTTTAACAAGGTCTGACCTATAAGCCTACAAGCCGGCCTATATTATACTTTTTATTTTAAATAAAATAAAATAGAATAAGTATTCCTTGAAGAAAAAACAAAATATATAAATTCAATCAATTGAATTGTTTATAACTTAATTATATTCGATTATATTTTAATAGAAATCTGACTTTATTTCTTATGTAAGAGAAACCAACATCTCAACATGCCAGATTGTATATATGAATATATTAAAAAGTTTTTGGGAAAGTTATACTTACTACAAGTATAATGATGTGTTTGTTGGATTCATGTAGTTATTTTAATTTACATAATATGAATTTGTTTGTTGGATCTGATGAAATATGTATTATTTAATTTGAACATTTTGCTTTTGAAAGTGATTCAAATGCAGATTGTGATGAGTTTTGTTGTGATTCATAATTCTATTTGGACGATGAAATTGTGACTTTTGGTTTAGCAATAGAATTTGAATATTTTGTGAAGTTGATTCATGGTTCTGCTTGGAAGTTAAAAATTAATAGGCTAACGGGCTAGGCCAGACCATTTGTTTTTTTATAAACGGGCTAAGTCAGGCTAACAATTAGACTCTTACTAGGCTTGGGCCAGGCCAAATTGAATTTTTTGACATAGGCTTGGACTTTTTGAGGCAAAGCTTGACTCAACCCAGCCCACTTTCACCCCTAATTACAATAGACCGTCACTTAATACTCAACAGTTATACTTAAAATGCTCTTGCAAATTATATATATTCCTCACCATTAGGATAATCATAGTGACTTACAAATGGAGGAATTTGCACAAACATCGAGTTCAGCTAACCCAACACTGATCAGTTCAACCGTTGTAAATCTAAAAAAAAACACTACTATTTTTTATGAATAACATTACACATTATCGGGCTAGAGGGTTGACCCGCCTCGCCCAACCCAAAGCCTTAGCTAATCTTATTCGTTGGCCCAGCCTAAAATCAAACCGGCATTCGAACAAATACCATAAACAGTACTTGAATTCGGGTCAACCCGATCAAGAATGGGCCAGCCTAAGATTCCGCTCGGGTCCTTAAGCCCCTCAGCGAGTGTCAGTTCCGTTCCCGCAGTAGAAGTTGGAGTATTCAAAATGGCGTGCCTCGCCGTTCCTCCTCTGCGTGCTTCATCAATACTATTACTAACCAAGGTACTTTCTCTCTGTACACATAACCCTAACTTCGTTCAATTTGGTTCCTCTCAAAAGTAGAAATGGATTAAAGTAGCTTTTTAGAGTCTTAAAATGCTTTTTCCATTAGTGTATAATAATTATCAACTTTCAACTTCCCACACCGATCAAAATTCTCTTTGTAATGACTTGCCAACAGGGAGTGCATCAATTAGATTTTGCTCTGGCTAGACTTTCAAGCAAAGCAACAACAGTTAGTGCAGGTTTTTCTTCTAAATTACCCTGCATTTCTGAGTTAGAAACATAATTTAAAGAGCTTTTCACTCTTTCTGCATTATAACTGTTTTATAACTGACTTTGATTTTAGTCTTAATGTCTTTACTTAGCTTAGCTATTTAACTCTACGGTGGTGCTCATGGTAGCTTATTACACTAACACAAGCTCACTGCCAGGATCTTGGAATATTTTTTTTCTTGTAATTAACAGAATGCGAAAGTATCATTTAGCATTAATTAATATATCAAATTTAAGCTTGATCATGTTGGCTTCTTGGAAGTGAATCACTGTTAGGGTGGAACTGCTAAAGCCATTTACTGGTTATTAGGTTGGATTAGAGTTTTGAATCTGCTTCTTAATTTTGGGACATACTTTTAGATGTGCACTGAAAAGAAATGTCTGTAGAATGTGTTATAAGTTTCCAGTTTATGGAGGGAGGTCATCCATGAGCAAGAAGATGATAAAAAGAAAAGTCATATCTTGTGGGGAAAAAAAAAAAAAAATCTATGAAATATAAAATTTTACAATGTTCTAAGATGCAGGCTGGGTTTGAAATTTTTTCTGTGATTTGTTAATTGTGTAAAATTGCTGATGCCTTGGCTGCTTTGGATGGAAATTTACTCCAGATTTCATAATTATCCAGGGTGCATTGACATTCTTTTAGGCACCGTGTCCTCGTTTGATTTGCTGAGTGTGCTCGTTTTGATTTGTGAATTATTTTAGGCACTGTGTCCGCATCTGTATTTGACCAAGATTAAACCTGGTGAAAGAATTGTCTTGGTGGAGTTAATTTTCCCTTCTAGATTTCTCTTGTCCTCTGTCACCCCCTTCTTCCATTTGGATATTTTATATATATCATAAAACAGGCATAGTAAGATGCTGTGATGAATATGAGAAATTATAAAGCAAAAATGAAAGCAAAATAGTCTTATCATGTCGGCTACACTACATCCACATCACCATGTGTGTGGGCCCGCGTCATGCACATGTTTATCATGCATATATTTGTGCTAGCTTCAACTTGAGGATTCAGATTTCAGACATAGGTATATTTTGGAAGTTATATGGAAGGCAGAATTTGTGGCAGTGTTTTGAATACTTGCATCATGTTTGTGCTTAGGCTTTTTAATCTGACAGTATATGTCATATTTGCAGCTCAAAAGATTATTGGATCTTGCAGTTCAAAAAAACACATATTGTCCTTGAAAGGAAACTGTCGATGTTGCTTGATGTCATGCGCAAGATTTCTTCATGAAACTTCCTCAAATAAAGGAAGCTGTCAACATTGCACTGAAATAGTTATATCTGGGTATTGGGTGGGACCTGATGCTGATGATGGGTGGGGATTTGTGGAAGCTGTAATTAATCAAATGACTTGATCTTGTTTATTTTAGATAAGAGTTGATTTTGCTTCATGTATATCAAAGATGTAAGTGGCAGTGTGGCTCTCGGTAAGCTGACCACAGTTCTATTTCTCAAAGGCTCCATAAACTAACCAGTCTTTTTGAAATTTTGAGAGTATCATGTGTAAACAGATACTGGAGAGGCATATCTGTTATTGAAAGAGTTAGTGAAGGCTTGATAGATGGGTTTTGATGGGTGTGCTCGTTTTGATCTGTGAATTATTTTAGAATCTAATACATTAAATAAAACAAAGGTTATGCATGTATTTCGATATTATGTGTCATTTCCAAATATCTTTTTTCTCCATGCTCATATAATAAGTTATAAATCTTTCATATATTTTTTTTGGTATTTGACAATCAGAAATAACTTAAATAAATTAATCAATATAATATTAATTACAATTCAATCAAACAAATTCAAGAAATATATAATAATTATCTCGTCCCTATGTAATTAATCAAATGTAGAAATTATATTAGAACAATTATTTAATTCAATTACAATTAAATAATCAACTAATTTAAAAAATATAGAAATTTATATAGAAATTTTATTTAATAATTTCAATTACTATATTGATTCAAAGTTTTCAAATTTTAGATTATAAAGATTCACACTCAATTTCTTTTTCATTTTTTTCATTTTATTCGCGATGCGTTATTTTGTTTACGGTTTATTTTTTCATTTTAGTTTAATTCAACTTTATTTGATTTAGTTTTTCATATTTTCTGTTCTCTTATCTTCTTTCTCTGCGATAAGTTTTTGTTTTGCTTTTTTTTTTTCATTTCCTTTGAGTTATTATTTTTTTGATATGTTTTAAATATAAATGGTTTATACTATTAAATTTTCTTAGATGCTTTTCATTCTTTCATATTAGATTATTTTATTTATGGTTTAATCCTTTTGTTTTTATTCAATTCTTTCCTTACAATTTCATCTTTTTTACATATTTCATTTTCTTTGTGTTTTTTTCTGAGGTGCGATTTTTTTCCCCTTTGTGTTTGGTACAAGAGAAATTTTTTGTTGACCGGGAATCATGATTAATGGGAATTCAGTAGAAATTGATTTTACTTGGAATCTTACGAAAGAGGTGTTTGGTTCGCCAAAATATTACCGGGAATATTGGGTAAAAATTATTGATTCCATATTTGGTTTAGAACGAAATATGACTTGGAATATGAGGTTATTTTACAAAAATAACCCCAAACTATTTTTACTTATGTAATTGATAGATTGGGTCTAGATTTTTATGTGTATTGGGTATTTTTGTCTCAAAATTTATTGTTGTGCTTTCCCTTTTGCTTGGTATTCTGATTGGTATTCCGAATTACCATATTATTTTTGGTAATCTGAATAGTGACTTTTCTTTATAAATCAAATTACCGGTAATCCTTGAATATCCGGGAATCGTAATTTATTCCTTCTACCAAACGTGGTAATTACATTTACCAAAGAAGGATTACCAGTATTCCTCTTTAAAAACTTGAAACAAACACCCCCTTAATCTGTTTGAACGACTTTTTCTTGTATATTTTTAATATATTATCAAAATTATTATGAATTGAATCATCGTTCAAAAAATATTTTTTATCATTTGTTCATTTTTTTTCTTACAGGTCTAACCCACAGAATTTTCAGAGTAATGGTACGCAACTGGGTCTAAGGGAGTGTAATAGAAAAAGTTCAGAAAGTTTTTTAAGAAGGAAACTTAAGGAAGGCTAAGAAAGATACTTATATATCAAAGATTTATTAATTATTAATTAAATGGGAGGCGATAATGATCAAATTCATGACATTAAGACTCTAATACCGTATAAAGAACCAATTCAACCCAGAAACTTAAACTATGAGGTTATATTAATCATTTTATATATTTCTAACAATTACTATTAGTAATTTCACTAGGTTCAAGTTCAGTCAACTTCAGCAGCCAATCCGGAAGACAAGAAAATGCTTTCACCGAGTTTAATCTTGGTCAATTACAGATGCGGCCTTTGTTTTATTTAATGTAGTAGATTGAATAATAAAAAATGTTAATATTTAAAATAAAAAGTCGTGTGACAAAATCGCTAATTACAATAGTACACTTTGTGTGTGTGAGTGATTAATGTCTTTTTTTTGTCTCATTAGATAAAGTTATCTCCTGCAATCTCAAAATGATGTCATTTTAAGATTAAAGATTAAAATTCATGATATAAAGAGCAATAAAATTTCTAAAATACCCTTTAATTTTAATCCTAAACTCAAAAATGTCGTTTTAGGATTACAAGAGATAAAGTTATCTCATATAACAAGAGAAACACTTTGCCATATATATATAGGGATCAATGTTTCTTACGTTGTGAAATTATATCTTACACACATGAAAGTGTGTGGGCCTTATGTGGGGCCATGCTAAGAGGGGAAAAAAAAAAAGAACACGAGCCCTACACAATTTTATGTGTGCGTATAAGATAAAATTATCTTCTAGAGAAACACTCATCTCATTATATATACGTATGTATGTATATATATATTTCTCAAGTTTCTTACTCAAGCAGTGGCAGACGGAGGAATTTTAATGATGGGGGGCGAAAATAAAAAATATTATATTATAAACAAAAATATTTGAAATATAATACAGACCTAATATAAAAAAATTAAAAGAAATCTATTACAAAGATTAAGATCACTTCATTTGACTCTTATTTTACGTATTTTCTTATTGTTAAACTCATATATAATTGAATCCGTGTTAAAATTCAAAACAATTTCTTTTTAATATATGTAATCAAAGAATCATCAAGAAATTGGTCTTCTATTTTATTTCGAAACTTGTTCTTGATTTTATTTTACGCATGCGAATCCTGACTTGTTTCTTTCTTTTTAAATATCAGAATCCACATGTGTAAATATGTTTGCTACAAAAAATTTCATATGCTATTGCTGCAGAAGAGACAAACCCATAAATAAATCATGTTATCCATTATCAATAAATTAGATACCCTCAAAGTTATATATGTCCTTTCATTCTTTTTATAGCTAAAACTGTTAGAAATTTAAAGAGATTAAGAATAATTTAGAAGAACACACTACAATTTTTTAATCTCACAATCACGTGTTTGGTAGGAGGTGAAAAAAAAATTTCCTAAGAAAATGGGGTTGCAAATTATTTGCCTATGTTTAGTAGGAGGTGAAGTAAAAATATGGCTAGAAAATTTTTTTCCCATCATTTGCTTTTCTATGTAAAATAGTTGGGGAAGATTACTATTAAATGGGTGGAATCATTTTTTCCATATGGTGGAAAAATTAACACATAACATCATTAAAATTAACTCAACATTCTCGGAAAAATTTTGGCATACCAAACACCTTTTAGTAATTTATCCAAAAAAAAAAAATTCCCATCATATTCTCGGAAATTTTTTTTTTCTCGATAAATTTTTTTTCTCTTCTACCAAACGTCTCCTTTAAGTGCTACGACACTCTCTTTCTCTGTTTTCACTATTTTTTGTTTTCTTCTTGCACACTCTTGTTTTTTCTTTTTTGAAACACATAACCTATATATTGGCAAATGAACTACTGAATCAAGCCCCCACTTTTTAATATTTTAATCCTAGAAATATTTAACTTCTCTTTGTCTTCTTCATAACCAAAATCGTCCTTGACTTTTCAAACTAGTACAATTAGGAGAAGCTGAATGAAAAATGAAAATGCAAAAGCTTAATCCTTTTCTTAAATTTTACCCCAAAAGAAGGTAAGAGAGGTTGAGGCGGGTTATTAACTATCACTGAAAACTGAAGAGTGAAGAGGTACTTGAAGAGTGTTTCAAGATTGGTCTCACGCCCCCCTTCAATGAAAATGCTTGTGCTTCCTCTTCAATTGTCTTTTCTTGTAATTGCATGCTGAACAATTTTCAGAAGTTTGATTTGAGCCGTCGAGGTTTTGTGCTTCCTCTTCAAGCTCACGCATGTCAGTAATTTACCCACTCACACACATTTTGTAATATTATTAAAACACCATTTATATATATTATTTTTTCCCATCAAATTTTAGGGGGGCGGGGGCCCACCCTAGCCCCCCTTTAGTTCCGCCACTGTACTCAAGCTGCTCAAGATAATTTTATCTCCGGCTACTAAATCATAACCGTACAAAGATGGATCAATGGTGATAAAAGAAGAGAGAGAAAAATGAAATCATAACCATTCAAAGGTGAATTAATTAATATAAGAAAATAAATAAATAAAATGACGTAACATAAACTTATCTCAAATTGCCGGAGAAATATTTTTCCCATATATATACATATAAGTTTAAATTCTCTCCTGTTACCGGAGACAACTACCTTATGTCAGTGAGATATAAAAAATTGTGTCATTTTTAAAAAAAAAATGATGGAACCCACATAATTTGTTTCTATAACATGATGCAAGTTATCTTCTATTATATAGGAGATTAATAAATGCCTATATATATATATATATATATATATATCCATACAAGGATGAAATAAATATAACCGTTGGATCAACATAAACGATCTAACAGTGAAATTAATTGGTAGTGACTTGGTAGTAACGCAACTTGGTTGTTACAATATCCTCCCCCCCCACACACACACATATATATATACATATATATGAGGTATGATCATTTGACACTAGTGTCAAATTTGACACTTCGTCTGAGAGCCGTTAGATCAAAAAAGATCAACGACTCTGATTTGTAAGCATGTGACCCCATTGATCTTTTTTGATCTAACAGCTCTCACATGAGGTGTCAAAGGATCCTACCTATATATATATATAAAATTTTAACTGCAGTTAACTTAAAGCTTTTTTATACAAAAAAAAAAAAAAAAGTTAAAGCTTTTAGTGGATTCTCTACAGTACTGTTACTGTACAGTGAATTTGAGGGTTTGAAACTTACCATTGATACACGTTGACTCCCGACTCAGCGAACAGATGGATCTTATCAACTATGTTTATATAATCCATACTCTTATACAAATTGCCTTTTCTTTTTTTGGATCCTGATGAGCTTCTTCGTGCTGTAGCATAGGAGGAACACAAGCAGGTGAATCTTGTCCAAATCTTCCTCTCCTTCTATATATTAATCTTCTATTTCTGTAAGTTTCAGTAATCTCTTCGCTCTTATTTACTTTTACATTGTAACAACTGAGCTTGAGAGTTTAGTCATGGCAACACCTTAGATTTCACGTTTTGTTCGATTTTATCTATTTTATTTCACGGTTTCAGTGCTCAATTATCCTACATGCTTAATTCTAATTTCTTTAATGAATCTAAGATTCTAGGATCAGACCAAAGAGTGGAAGTGGATCTAAAATTGCATTTCAGCATGTTATATTCTGAAAACATAGGCTAATTAGAAGAATATAGCAAAACATAGGGTTACCAGTTTTGAACTACTTGCTTCATTTTTTAAGTATATAGCAAAACATAGGGTTCCTTTTCCCTCTATTAACTCTCACCCAAACATATAGGCTAATTAGGAGAATACCTGAATTCAGAAACTTGAATTAATAATTCTTAAGAGTTTAAGCAATTAAGTTCAATATATATTACCAGATTAATTAGTGAATAAAAAAGTTATATTTATAATTCACTATTGGCTAATTTCTATGCCTTCTGTAATGCTTCTTCCATCTATTATTCCTATGTTTATGTCACTGACTTTCTGGCAGCCTCTTTTTTTATCGTTAAAACCTGGTCTTCATGTTCTTTTTGGACTCCTTTTGAATGGCTAGCATTTGTTTGTCTAGGTTTATCTGTGTTATACTTTTCCCCTTGCTATTCTGTCGCAACCTATAAACAATGAAACTATTTGAATTGAATAATTAATGTCATATTTGGATATCGCTTTAGTTTCTTGACTGGAATTCTTAAATTTTTATAGTAAAAACTAGTATTCGTATTTATAAAGGGTTGAGTGGATGTCCTTTAAAAGGACACAAGTTGTGTTCTTTTAGTGACTTGCACAAAATCTGACCAGTAAGACTTTGTATAAATATGAATTTTTTTTTCCACTTTACACGTCAACGGTGTGCTGAGAAGAGAAAAAAGAGAGCAACTTTCCAGATTTACACAAAATTTTACCAGTCAAACTTTGTGTAAATTATTTAAAAGGAAACAAAGTGTTGTGCTTTAAAAAGATACTTATTTTTCCCGTAATAATATGCATTTTTTGCCTAATGATTCCACGCCATCGTCTAACTAAAAGGTAAAAAGGAAAGAAAGAACACAAAATAGTTACTTCTACTCAGAGTAGGACTTTGAAGTTTAATAATTTGGGTGCTGAGCTTCTCTTTCTCTATCTTTTTGCATTTATATATTCAACTTCCTTTATTTGGAAACTAAATTTCTTTTGTCTTTTAATCTGATTGAACCTGGTTATATATGTGTATATCAGCAACATAGTTATTATTGTTAACTTTGATTGGTTTTCTGTGTTAGTTTCCAATCAGCAAAGGAAAGTTACTCAAGTTTACTTATGTCAAGCCTCAAGCACCATAGACATATGATAATGATTACTGGGCAGGCATATGATATATACAAAATAAACACACTGAGGGTAACTCATCCCCACTATGGAATGCTCTTTATAAACTAATTCAAAAAAATCATTACACTATACCGAAGCTTAAGATATAGAAGTAAAAAAAAAATTTGTGATCACCCGTTTGACCAAATTTGCAATTTAAAGTTATGGCCAACCTATTAACTGTTCCAAAAACTCTAATCGTAAAACATATAACTGAACTTTAGTTAAACAAGTGATGTTGATAATGACATCACACAGCTGGTTAAGTAACTTTATATTGCCAAAAGGGGAGGGGGTGGAAAAACCTAACTAGCAAGGCATGAATAATATATGGATTTCAATTTGGTGGGTTTGTAATATATATTCAGCCTGTTCTATATATGAATATCTGAAAGAGTGAAAGACATCTGTTTTGAGAATTAATTACTGTTCATAAACAAATTTCAATCAGCATGAACAATCATATCGTGAAAAGAGACTCGTCACAAATTCATTTTCATAGATGGAAGAAGATGATCAATAGAAGAGAAGTAATATTCTGAGTTATGCTTGAGACACCATTTTGGGTATGAAGAAATATAAGCAGTTTGACAGATCCAATATTACCCTCTTAATTATAGAAACATAAACTCGTGCATTTGAGAAGCTTTTAGCTTGAAATTTTGGTGTAAAACTAACATGTGCTGATGAAGTGTAATTATAACAAGTTACAACTTCAAATTTTCAGAGTTCCTGCATGGAACAGTGCTACCACAGGCACAGGCATTCACTAAATTCCATGGAATATTAAATTTGAAGGCGAGCAGTTATCAATAACAAGAAGATTGCAGTCTAGGGAATGTGCTCCAATTGCATATAGAATATGCACTCAACTTTTTGTGTTGAGGTTCTGCAACTTATATGGACTACAACCCATGATCCTTTGCCTATGTCCTGAAAAAAAGGCACATATGACGCGATTTGCCATATTGGTTAAATATTGCCACTACCCATTCCCTCAAAAGGAATGCTATGCTATACGTACAAGCAGTTTATGAATCTCGATGCCGCAATTTCATGGTCGGAGCCAATGGGAACAGTGTTCGATCAACTGTGGAAATTATCCCATGATTCATACTCAGTTACAAATTTTAATGTATGCAGTTATTGTATCAAGAAATTAAACCATAACTTAGTGCTGCAACTGATGGTAGTACATAAACCTAGTATTGTGATTCACTGTTTTCAAAGTAATATGGTCAACAACATCATTGCATTAGCATAGATGGTCCAAAAGTTTTATGGTTTTTGAAGTTTTTATTTATCTCTTTGATTTAATTAGTGTCAGATTTTATAATTAATATATCACAATCTCCCTCTACAGTTAGTGGTGGAAGAAGCTTGTTCTGTCACAGACCTCAGAACTCATCTTTGCTAGTATATGCATATGTGTGTGTGTCAGAGAGGAGATATATATATAGAGAGAGTGTATAAACTATAATAAGGTAATAGTTGAGAAGTGGTCCCAAGAGTTTGTGGAAATCTCAGACTATCTGTGCTGAAAACCCTAATTCTGACAGAAGTTCAGATTATTGAGTAAAACTTTGCTGTCAACTTTAATGGGGACGATGACCTAATTGTTCATTTGAAAATGTTGTAGAATGCAGGCATGCCTGAGATATGATTCGATTTTCACGGTTAATTATGCACATGTAAAGCAACGAGATTGTGGTCCCCGATTCTAGGGTTAGAAAACCAAAACCTAGTACATGTATATATGCTAGTTTATTATTCTATGGCCTCTTATTTTTACTGGCTAATAATATTCTTGTATTTTGGTTACAAAATTGATGGTTATCTGCTGTTAAACCCTGACAGAGGAAATGGCTATATTAACTGCATGATTTGTAATTAGTTAAGGAGAAAATGAGAGAGGTCACAACTCACAAGCATAATTGAACTCATCCATTAACTTTTTCTTTCCATATTAATTAGATGTATGTTTTAACTGAGGGAAGGCTTGGCCATAATTAAGGACACTTTAAGAACTGATTAACTCCTAAACTAAATATGTTAACTGGAATATTGATCTTGACCGTTGTATGAATGATTAACTGAAGATATATGAATTGAAGGCACCACCTGATCAATAAGCTAGCGGAGGAAAGCTTTGAGTGCCAAAATACAAGAAATGAAAACGATATAAAGAACTAAAAAAGATGAGAAGAGAGTTTCACCATGATGAATTAACTTGTCATTTTAATTCAGTTCAAAACTTTGCAAGATTTGGACTATATCAGCTGGGTCTAATAGAAACTAAATTAATTAATCCTATACTAAAATTTCCCTTTTGTCTTGAACATGATAATCATGTGTTTGTTGATCAGGATCACAAGAAATCTTCTTAATAATCTCATGGAAAATTAACCCAGGATTTCAATTCGATGTAAATACCTTCTAGAAAATTTGCAAATATATATATGCTCAGATGAATGAGATCTATTTTAATAATGAAGTACTGCTACTCGTGTAGAAAATTGAGAGCTACTAATTAATCATCTAGCTCTTAATACCCATAATATACAACAATATTACAGAAGCTCAAGACACTAACTATGTAACACAGAAAGGGGAAGTACCCTTATTTGACCAGATATATATCTATATAGTTGCAAGTTACCTCACAATATTCAACAAAATAAGAAATCTTCTTCTTCGGTGTTGTTGTATGTCATCATCACCTTGTTGGATCTTCAGAAAAAGAAGAAACTATATATATATATTCAGCCAGCAGCAGATTGATTTGCAGGAGAGTTTTCAACCTTGTCATGATCAGTAACCCTACTACAGTCAAGTACTGGAGCAAGAATTTCAGTTTGCTTCTCATGTTGGCTACTTGTTTTTGTTGATGATCCTTCATACTTAAATTCTTTGGTGCTTTCAAGTTTGTTCTGATTCATCTTCTCTCTCTCAGCGTGCCTGTATTTATGCAAGTACATTCCAATGGCCTCAGCATAGTTGTCAAACCCTAAGGAACTTAAAGCCCAACAGATGTCATCACCATTAACGGTCTTGCGATTCTCCTTGTGACACTTGTCAGATGCCTCGCCAGTCACAAAACTTATGAACTCTGTGACACACTCTTGCATTACTTGTTTGCCTTCTTTGGAGATCTTTGCACTTGAAGGAAGAATTTGTTTCATGATTCGACCCACATTTGCAATTGGCAACGCTCTATCTTGCTCATTATTGTTGTTGTCCATTTCTATAATCAGATGACAAAAACTATTTTTCTCAATTACATATATCTTATGGACAAGCTTGTTTTATATAAATAGATTATTTTTGTTGTGTATGTGAATGCAATGTTTTGTGAAACACGATACGAATGTCACATGTAAGAATGCTGGTATGTTCACTGTAACTCAACATATTAATGGATTTAGATCATCTCCTTTAATTTTATAAAAGTATGATAATAAATCATATAATGGGACAAAAAAATTAACTCTTATATGTACAAGACTGATGGATTTTACATGTATAAGTAACAAATAACAATGAGTTTTTCAATCCAAAAATAAAATTCCTTTTTCCCTTAAAACATGATGACTCCATTATTTATTTAAGGAAAATGAGATTATATATATATAAATTCTAAATTTATAGTATTAGTAATGGCTGAAGTATGACAAAAACCTAAATTCTAAACTTTTATTTTTTTTTAATTTTAATTTTTTGAAAACACAAATGGCTAATTTAAGTCAAAATCTCTAACCTCTTTTATGTACATGTACACAATGTATTCTGAAAAAAATAGAGACATCATATACAATATAATAGATTGGGAATTTATATTTCTATTTCCTCTCTCCACTAAGAAAAAGAATAATATAGAAAGAAAGCGAATATGAATAGGATTTGGATTCACGGATATGTAATTATTAGGACTAATCAAAGAAAAAAATTTAGAGAATAATTGATACCGGGTACATTATGACATAATTCAATTAGAATCTATAAAATGAGTTTAAATAATTAGTTTTAAGAAGCCTGGAGATATGGTGAAAAAATATACATATATGATGTTTTTATAACAAAAGATCATAATAATTAACTATAATGCATGAATTAATCGTGTTTATCTGTGACTGCAGTTTTCGAGGGGAAATCGAGCCATCTGCTTTCTATTTTGAGCTGGAATAACGCTGAGTAGATTATATAAATCATATATAGTACATCTGCGACAAAACCTAGTTTTGAAAATTTTCAGGTTTAGAACCAAAGGCTTATTAGTTAAGGTATCATTGGTCCCCACAGCCATTCCACTTATATCCATACAATATATGTACACGTACTCTAATGCCCTTAATTTAATTATTGGATAATAATATAATCTTATTATTCGTACTAATCACATAATGGAGCGCATTTGTGCGTTATCATGCTCTGGGACAGATCCGACCTAAACGTACCTAAAAAGAAGTCTTCACATACCATAGTGTTTTATTATATCTCTTACTTTAGGTTAAATTATTTTTTGACAATCTTTTGTGGCAATAGTGCAGTTCTTCTTTTATAAATTCGAATTCGTTAGATTTTTATTTTTTATCAAACTCTAGCATTCGAACTCTTTTTAACTTGCACATTAGATATTAACGGAGCCGTGTGGTGAGCTCAGAGCGAACTATTCTTTCGCCTTTTACTAAAGAACCAAATTGATGCTTAGATTCTAAACATTATGCTATGGATATGAAAAGTTTCGATCACATCTCATCATGTTGATAGGACATTAGGAACACAATTTGATATGCTTGAATATTTAGTAATATATATAGAGCACTTATACGCACAGAGAATTTAGTTTTAATTTAATAGTCTTACGCATGTTTAATTTATTGTAGTGATCCGTGATCTTTAATTTCTTTCTTTTCTTCTTTTTTCTTTCTTTCTTTTTTTTTTTTACAAAAATTGGTTTGGGCTCCCTTAAGGTATAGTGGTGAACCTAATGAGAAAGAACTGTCCAAATAGTAGTGAAAGGAGGAGTTAGGTCTGGCTAAAGGCTCAATGTCTAGAACAAATAATAATAATTGTTTCTAGGTATATTAATGTTGAGTATTCTTTATTCTTATGTCATAATAGATTAACACATTGTCCACACCAAAAAAAAAAAAAGATTAACACATTGTAAATTACAAGTTGATAAAATAAAATTTATGAAATTTTAGAATTTGTACATATTGACATTTGTCAATTAAATGGAGTTTTAACAACAAAAAAATGAATTGTTCGGTACAATTCTTGAGATGATGGTCGCGTAGCCCCACGCGCGCGATTTTTCCCTTTCTGCTAGGATTTACTGGTTTGCTGTTTTTGTGACGTTTGCATTCAATTGAATCTGAGAAGGTGACACTTAAGAGTACGATGGATGAGGATGGAGTTAAAGCTTCAAGAGAAAGGGTCCCAACTGAAGTACATAACGATGTGGCAAGAAACTGAAGGGTGACGTTATGGATGATCTGACCGTGGATGATGACATGCAAGACAAAGGAGAGGGAGGTTCTGAAACCCGATCGGTATCATATACGGTACTGGAGGAGGCTAGGGAGGAACATAAGGTTAACCCTTTGCCTAGGGTGGTGTCGTACAGAGACAAACTTCTTCGATTGAACGGGAAGGGAGGTCAATCGGATAACGAAGAGGAAGATTGGATTTCTATCCAAAAGAGAGAAGAAGAGGAGGCAGATCTGATGGAGGGGCTGAACCAGGAGGCCCCTGAAGACCCTTTATGCCCGAGGTACACCTTCTCCATGGAGGAACACAAGTGTGACTGTGAGAAGTGGAGGAAAGTGCTCATCATTAAGATGCTGGGAAAACGTATAGGGACTGGGTTCCTGATGTCGAGGTTGCTGAAGATGTGGTGCCTGGTAAGTGTAACACCTCGTATATATCCGGTAATGTTATCATACTATCGTATTAAGCTGCGCTTAATTAAAAATGCAGAATATCTTTTTCTTTTCAATTATGATATCATTATCATTACCAGCTTGCTTATTGAATCGATTAATAAAATATTGCCTGTATGTAGATTGCAAAAGACAGTTAACTGAAATACTTCATAACATAAATAATATAAGTATGTCTCTAGACACGGAACTACAACGCGTAGACCAGTCCAACTAGCAGTTTATACAACTCCAACTATAAGTACTAACATCAGTGACATGGACAATCCCTAAGGAAACAAAGCCCACATCGTCTCAACAACAGCAACATAATAAAAGTAAGCTAATACATCAAATCAGCAGATATAACCAGCATCCAACATGTCAGCATAAATAACAGCAATATCATCAACTAAGCTCTGGCCTTCTGCCGCCAGAGACATCAGTCCCCAAATTACCTGAACCTGAAATAAGCATTCCCCAAACGTGGGGTGAGATCTCTAAACAAGAAATCTCAGTAAGACAAGGGGTCCTCAAGGATCTTCCACCCCAAGCTCACTTACATGTGCAATATAAGTTCCAAAAGCGATTCATCAATATCATTTCTAAAACAGTGCAATGCAGCAGATAATCATGTCATGTGTGTCAATATTATTCTACTGGCCAGAGAAATGCAGGATTTATATACGCCAAATACCCACACATAGTGCAAGACGCCACTTGCATCCATCCCGGATCACCGTTTTGTATGACGCCACATACTCAGGCTTACCGTCAAGATGGAACAACACATGCATATTAAAAGCCATTACACATAAAGCTCAACAACATTCCAAATATATCAAAGCATGTAACACAGCATGCATATAACCATTCCCTCATGGGGCACGATGGAACTACACAATGGCTAAACCGAGGACACAAAAGCTTACCTCTTAAGCAATCAATCCAAGTCAAGTCCACACAAGCTCAATGGCCAAACACAGCAGATCACAATCTGATTTAGGACTAGCAAGCATATCAATATTCATAGCTCAATAGCATAAACTAAAGACTACGTTTTCCTTTTACGTTTTACGTCTTAAGGCTTCTCACAAAGCCATAAGCCCTTAATCCCTTGATTCTGACTTAGTTAAGTATTTACAGAAGTTCAACTCTATCAAAATAGGGTCCACAAACCCATAGCTCAGTTATGTATGAACAGTACCTTACTGTTCCTCGAAATCCCAGAATATCTGGATATATGTCGGGGGCATATCCGGATATCTCACTAGCAATATCCGGATATCCAGATCCCCATATCTGGATATCAGTATCCGGATATCCATATCCGGATATCAATATCCGGATATTTATCGACAAAATATCTGGATATTTCGCGAGAGAATGTAGTTTCTACATTTCGCGAAGATATACACCAAAGGTCCAACTTTTACCAATTAAATGCGTTCAAGACTCCATTTTTAGGTCTATACAGGTTCATACACATGTTAGTTACTTGTTTAACCCAATTACATGCAAAGACACCACCTTTAAACCCTTTAAACTCATGATCAAGGTTAGGCAACTCACCAAAGCTTCAAACTCAAAAATGGAAGGCTCTTGGAGCTCACCAAACAGCTCCAAATATACTGACTTGCAAGGAGCACGAAAATGCCACACCAAAGGTTGGTTCTTGCACCAAAAGATGACTACTTGGCACCACAAATGCCAAGCCAAAGGACCACACCCTCTCTAAACTCAAAGTCAGCACCTATCCTCACCAAGGCAATAACAAGAACTCAGAAAAACAACCCCATTTTACTTCCCAAGGCTAGAATGCACTCACCCATAGAGTTTTCATGAAGAACCCAAGAGGAAATGAGGTCTCTTGCTGTCTCAAATGGAAAGAGAAGAAGGTGGTAGGGTGGCTGGTGTCACACCTTCAGCAAACTCACGTAGGAGAAATGTATGGCCTAGGATTTTGGGCCATACTTTAGTATATATAGTCACTTAAACTGTTAGAAAAAATATTAATTTATTATTATTAGAATAGTCTAGATTGTGGGCTTGGCCCATTAGGTCATCCCATCAGGTCTTTTAGCCTCTATAAATAGAGAGCCTCCTTGTACATACTTACATACTTGAATATACAATATATTTCAGATTCAATTTGGTATCAGAGCTCTCGATCTGAGGGCTCTGCTTCCGCATATATATCTTTTCCCTTCTTTTTACTGCCGTGCATCATACCGGCAACCATCCTTTCACACCTAACCCTTTTTTAGTCACAAGTTTCTTGTCCTCAACCTCGTATCATCTAGAAAAAGATCGTCAGC